AGCTCCGCTGGCGAATCTAAACTGTCCGACAGTCGAAATGAAAACAATGGTTCATCTCGGGGCATCGCTTTCTTTCTGCTAAGACCAAGCGTGTGCTTCTCCTTTGACCAATTAAGCGCAAGCTGCGCCCGTTCGCACGATTAAATCCAATTGTTCGCGATATTTTTGTAACGCACTTTCCAGAGCACTCGGTGAGATCCCGATCGCCAGATGAAACGCCGCGATACACGTACTTGCTAAGCAAAAATTAACTTGCGCCATAACGCGCGCCGCGTATGGGTATTCAAGGTGGAAACTTTCTCTCTCCTTAAGAGTCATCATCTAGCACGAGGCATCCGCGTAATCCCGGCAATTTGCGCGTTCGTAGAACGTATTATAAGAAACCAGGGGTTTACATTTTTAGTTGAGTTAATCTATACAATCTATCCATTTTTCTCAGAGTTTCATATTACATCGTGGTCTTGATTCGAGTAAATTAAATTTTACGACTAGAAGAATAAGAGATATATGCAGTTCTTTGGTTCAGAGAACTCATATGAAACCGCAATACTGCCAACGGTTTTCTAAGGAAAAAGACAAGAACTTTATATGTTTCAAGCTGCCGGAGGAGATCAAAGCGAAATGCGACAGAAAACATGGAGGAATTTCGCGAGAACCTGCACTTTGAATAAATCGCGCTCGCTCGCGAACGCGTGCGTAAGAGCTTTTCCCGACCAAATATTACGAGCATCTGGTTTTCTTTATTTTTCATTGCCGACAACATTGATATTTTCATTGGCAAATTCGCGAATCGCGGATCTCCCAGAAAAGCCGAAGCGAAGCGAAGAAAAGATTCGTCCCATCGCCAAAGTTTCCACCGAAGTTCAAGGCCGTTTATCGGCAAAGAGGGTGGCGGATCCACACGTGTACTTTATTTTTCTTTCTGTCCCGCGAAAGAGAGAGAGAATAATGACCGCGAGCGAGGTCAAAAACCCTGATGGGAACCCCTTCATTTACCGCGGAGCTTTCCGACTCTATTTTCAGCGGTGTACAAAGAGCTTATAATTAGAATGGTCTAAGAGAAAGAAAATCGGGAATACCGCGGAACAAGTTGGGCCTAATTTTGGACCGCGATATACAAGAAGAGTTTACAATCGGCTTGTCGTGCAAGAGGAACGAAGTGACGGCTTTATATCCGATCGTCGCTCTTCCTCCCGCGAAAATCCGTTCGCGAAAGAGCGAGGTAAACGACACGTCGAAACTGCCAATTGCGCGTTGTGTTCTATTATGAGCGCCGGCTCTCGACAATCTCGGTTTTACGATTTCCGATTTAGCAGCGAGGTCCAACGCCTCTCGCGATATCGTCCTGGCAGAGCCGGGAGTGCCGGGCGGCGAGGCGCGTTGCGGAATCGGGCTGGACGAGAGACGATGGGAGGACGGGAGGGCGCGACGGGGTTTGTGTGCACGGGATTAATACATCCGCCGTAAATAATTCGGAGGCCTGTGTGTTGCACGTTCTCTACCCAGTGTGTAAACTAGCTAAGAGTCCGCCTTTACCGCGACCTCTCAGGAGTCACGCTCGTTCTCGTAACTCACTCCGCGCGAGTTGAACCGGAAGGGTCCAGTTAAGTTGTTCTTAGGGCACAACATAAAATCACGAGAACCGTCATTGCGCTAACGAGCGCACGTACATACACGCACATTCCATTATAATCTAGGATCTTAGGCGCTGCCTATTTTACCTCGCCGCGCTCTCACGCGCTTTTCCAGTCACTTTCATCGCGGCATTGTGTTGCGAAAGAGACAGCCGTTACACAAATTACCCGCCGTTCCGTCAATTATCATTAGCATTGTATTCAGGCGTGCTCCTAATTGCACATTGTAAGCTTGAGGCCATTGTGTATCCGGGCCGCGCCAACGCGGAGCGCGACATCGCAATTTGTATCGTGCGTCATAATACTTCACGCTCTCCGCGCGTTAATCTTCCCGCGAATAATTTATAAGCCCGTCGGATCGTCGCATCTTGGCAACGATTTGAACGGGCGCGATCAAAAGTTGTCGCCGGCGCGGCGCGTAATCGCGAAAACCTCCGCGAAAAAGCCTTCGTTCCGCATCTCGCGCTCACGGCCAACAAGTTTGCCCATCTCGAAAATACGAGCGACGATATCCGAACGGACGTAAGGCCGCCGCGCCGGCGAGATAAGTGCGACGCGTCGAAAACGCGCGAAATCTCACGCGCCCGGCGAGAATCTCAAGAACGAATCTCGGGAGCTGTTCGGTATTTCGAGAACGCGCCGCGTTTCCGAAGTATCGCATGGAAAATGCGCGGAAAAGCGCGATTAAACGTGCAGCTTCGCGTGAGGCCGCGCCGCGCGCCCGTCAGGCCCGTTTGATCGTCATCGCCAAAGAAACCGAGCCAGGTGTCGATATACGCCAAAACGCGAGCACATTGTTGCGCCGCAAGGAGAGATCGACGGTTCGAAGAATTCGCGTGAATATTAATAAGTCGGGGAAATTTATAGAACCCACGCGCGGGATCGTGGGAGCCGAAAGTTTCGCGAATCCAAAGCGCTGAATTGCCTTCGACGCGAATACAACGCACTTTATTCGCGACTCGAGCTACGTATTTCGCGCGTAATATCTCAGCAAAGTTGGGACGGGTCGGGGAAAACGGCAGCTGAACGCGACACTTTCAATTACTTATCGATTCCGTTCCCGAATGAACACGGCCGCGCGCTCTCTCTTCAACTTGAGACGTACGCGAGAAACGCGGTTCGATCGGCGACATAAATTTCGGGAACAGACGCGCGGGGGCTATACGAATGTCAAATCATCGCGAATTGCGCAATAATCTTTTTTTATTGCGATCTTTATTCCGGCGTTTGGCGCGCGGCCAGCCGCGCTGCAGCCGCGACACAAAAAGACACCGTATTATTTTTATAGATAATGAAAAAAAAGGCCCGTTTTTAAAACACGACGCAGCCCTCTCGCACTCTTGCGCGTGCCACTTTTATTTATCGTCGCATCTTAGACCCTATTTATATATCGGGCGTATTTTTACGGTGTCGCGACCGGATGCATCTATCGGTTCCGAGATTTCAATGCCAACATACCACGCGCGACTGTCGGCAAGCACGCTGTTAACATGTGTCGTGTGTCGTTGTCAATGCAAAAGTGACGCTAACAAGGTCGGAAATTCAGTTGCTTATTTATCTCGCACTCTATATATTTTTCTCACATCCCATTCATATAATGGATTAACGCAATAAAAATGATTTGGACACGTTCGAGAAATTATTAGGAAACATAAGTCTCAAATATCTCTTTCTCGGTCCAAATAATTAAAATATCCAAGTATCTCAATCATATTTAACTTAAGAAGCTAGCTAACTTAAGGCTCTAACTTAGAGACGCTGCGTCATCAATTAACACGTTATGATTGATTTTTTTATTTTGCAGGCAGAAAATTCGTGACTTTCTTTGAAAACACGCGACTGTGTCTCGAAGCAGAGAGTTTTCCGAACGTTTACAGAACGGCTGCCAGGACGCGAGGCCGCCATTGCTTCACGGACCTGATTCACAGACAAACAGCCGGAAAATCGTAAACCACTCCCGGTGAGTAATCGCATGTGGCTACTTTGTACACTCGGCCCACGCGCGCCAAGAAAAAGGACACTTTCTTGGCTTTTCCACCCATTCCCGGTCTAATCTTCTGACGCGAATCATCCGCGGAGTTATCCGCATTGCGAATGTCCATTCTATATCTATCCCCTTATGTGTTTATGATCCGCTTGACAGGCATGAAGATGCGCGATTAGCGTGATGTATGAAGGAGCAGAAACGCGCGACGGATTCTGGCAGAATCGCTAAATTTAATTCCAGAAGTGAATCGCTTTTTGTGTGTTCAATTGCGACATAAATAATGACGATGCCCAAGAATTTAGGATCTGAACATCCATCAAAGATTCGAAAATTTAGAATCCGAGCAAATTAAGGATTTGAAGAACACGAATTCATGGATGTAAAATTTCCGAATACATTCACAGATAAATTGAGAAATAGATTAAAAGTCTGGCAATTTAGAGAATAAAGAATCTGAATATTTAAAAGAAAAAGTCAAAAAGAGTGTCGGAGAACGTCGAGACGCAGGATATTAAATTCACTAAACACGCGAAGTCTGCAGGTCAACCCTATCGAGTCCTACCTCTCTTCTGGTAGTGGTTGTTATGGATTTTCTGGTAGTGGTGGTTCTCCGTGTGGTGAGATTCTCGTGGGGAGAATCCCAGTCCTGGAAGATCTCCGTGGTCGCCATGTTTCTCGTCTCTGGTATCTCCTTTCGTACAATTTAAACGTCACTTCTATCTAAATTCTTCACACGGTAGACACTTTTCGAAAAATCCTTTCGATTCACCCTCCGTCGCGTCAGTATAGATTCTGCAAGTTCGTACATGATCATAGCCTCCTAATTCTTGGTTGTCTTCGCACGAAAAATGATACGCAGTACAGTCTTAAATTCTTCAAATTTATTTGAATCATTTAATTATTTTAATCCCTTCGCTCTAATCATTGATTTTTTACATACTAATCAGCAATATTAGAAAATAATGCTCCAAAGCTTTTGATAAAATTATGATAGACGTTTCATCGATAGAGAGAAACCAAATTATCTTAAACAAAAAGGAGAAGAACTTGCAGTGAGGGTATTTAGTCGAGCCGAAGATCGATCCGAGCCATTTCGCTCTTTCGATATCCGCGCGACCGCCTCATGAGCGAGTGGATGCTGCGAGACTGCGAGGGCGAGAGCGATCTTCGACGATACCGCGGTACTCCGGGGGGTCGGACCGCGAGTCGCCTTGTACAACACTTGTGGGACAACTGCGAGATATGCGCGATTCGAGATGGACCACGCGCGACTGAAGCCGGGAAACGCGTCTTCGCGGTACCGCGCGAGTGGACCACACCGCGCCCCATCCGCGCGGGCCGTTTCCAGAAATACGGAGAAACACGTATAATTAGGCCGCCACCCGCTGCGACGACAAACGCGCGGTAAAAAAGCGCAAGATGCCGCCAAGGCGATTCTTTCGCGCTCAGTTTCTTGGGGTGATTCTTTCCCCGCGATCCCTCGGCTCTCAAAAGTTAACACCCTTCGCATCGTTATTAATGCATTGAGAAAAGAAATTTGTTAATTCCAAAAAATATTTAGTCCGATACGTTCAACTAAACATTTTAGTTACTTAACTAAACATTAGTTGAATTAATTAATTCTTGATTAAAGAAACTAATAAAATTGTTGAAATAATTAAGGTTTAGTTAGTTAACTAAAATGTTTAGTTGAACGTATCGGACTAAACATTTTTTGGGATTAACCATTTCTTTCTCAGTGTAAGACACTTATTCGGCATTGAAAAAATTATAATAATTTTGAATCAGTCCAATTATTGAATCTTCGAATTCTTAGCAAATATCAGTAATCCTTAAAGCTAAGCGCGATTATATCTTTAGAAGAATGAATAAAAATTTGGAAATAATTTTTGACACTATGTATCATGAGATTAATTTCATATATAGAATTAATTAAAATTAAAAATTTGCAGATAACTTCTTGCATGATTTTTAGATGGATTAAGTCTACGATAAGTTCAGAAAGGACTTCGTGTTGCGCAAAGCGACTATACATCGCAAACTAATTTTAAGATATAGCGATGTTTTATACACGAACCGTGTTTGTGTTACATACTTAGTAACCATTTGCTTTTCGCTACTCTAAAGTTGACATAGACTTCCGCGCGTTGGAAACGAAATAACGATGGCGACGCAGCTCCTAGTGGAATTGAATATACATAAGATATCGGGAACTGTCATTAGCTATGAAACTAACAACAGTATATCGTACTTGTACACGCTTAGCATTATGAATGTCTCAACACACAAAATTGCAATATGTAATTTTCCAGATAATAAGTTTTACATTTATATTTTTACATCTATATTCAATTTACACGATTAATTAAAAAATTAAAAATTAGAAAAGGTTGCAAGATGTGTGCTATTTAATCTGAATTTGTAGAAATATAATTGATAACTTACAAATAATTGTGATAGAAAGTCTAAGTATAATTGCACGCTCTAACTACGTCAGAAATTAATGCAACTTTACGTGTTAAGATTTATACGTTTGCGAACAATCGAAAAAACTTTAGAATGACATACAAGAATCTTTAGGAATTTCTTCTTAAGAATTACGCAATTGATTACAAAGAAATACAATCTGTTATCATCCGCTATCATATAGTCATATAATAAAAAACGAAGTTATAATCTCCGATAAAAGTTTCAATTGACGCCTTATACGATCAGTAGAAGTGATAACGTGCAAGTTGTTTGTTTCAGCTAGAATGGATTATTTATAACAGCAAATATATGTTCTCTGTGTTATAGGTAGATGGCGATACCAATAGGAAGCTTTCGCACGAAGCTTGAAAGCTGCCCGTGCGAAAACTCTTCCGGAAGAGCCGTCAGATGGTGCAAAAGCTTGCCAAGCGGTTATCGCTAGTACAAAGAAGCCACTGTGTCCGATTTTACCCTCGGTTGTCGGGCTGCCAGAAAGCTCTCAACCTGGGAAAGCTTTCCGGAACTCGAAGATGAGAAAACAGCTGATTACTTAATAATTTTACTGCTAATAAGAACAAGCTTATTTTCAAATTAACAAAAAATAATTTCTAAGACGAATCGCATAACAGATAGCGCAATAATATTTTTAAATAGATGCAGGAATATATCCAAAGGATCAAGAGATGTGGGAAAAATATATAATATATAATAGAAACTTCAGGTTTGTACATACATAGATCTAATACAATTCGAATTCCCAATAGAATGTGCTGTTAATATATGTGTATATCTTCATATTCCTTTGGTTTTCTCATGTATTCTATATATTGTAGGAAAAATACATAATTAAATCGAAAGAGTCATTTGGACACCGGTACATATATTATGCAAATTTTTTTCGCATTTAGACACCGCCAGACACGCACAACATGAAAGTTAAATTGATCGGTTTCTATTTCGGAAAATAATTTATGCGACGGAGATTAAATGTTTTTCTCTGATGGTGCCGCGGGGATATCACCTGCGCGATTAAAGAGCTAATTTCGCACGTCGATTGTCCGATGATCGTCCGTGCGAATTTTCCAGTTTCAATATGCGTACCGTCGGGCAACAATCGCCAGCGAAAACAAGCAATTCCGTCTCTGACAGGGTCTCCGTTTTTTTGCACCGAAAGAATTGAATTATTCCCCGCACTGCTGCTATGCGATGCGAATATAAAACGAACACAGGAGGATATATATAAATTTATCCTACGCGAGAGCAAGCTTTCCCCGTTTTGTAAAACAACGTTCTAATTAACGTGATAACATGTTCTTAAATCTTAGATCCTTTGATATAACTTCTATCGAGAGATTAGACTTTATCTAAATTATTTTCAGATAATAAAAATGATTTTTGATTAAATTTATTTTTGTATATCTTGCGCTAGACATATTATGTAAAGCTCTCGAAACATTCTATTTGCGAAAATCGCGATTGACGGTCAATCTGCGATAGAAAAACACAATTGCCGCGTAAATAGACATTTACATTTCCGCAAGAAGATGAAAACGGACGGAAATTACCGAAACTTCACGCGTTAAGTTACATGAAGCGACGGGCTGCGATTGCATATGAGGAGTCGCAGACCGAAAGTGCGAAATTAAAGCGGAAAATTACCCCATGGGATATTTTCGTTGTGACACGTGCGATTGATCGGCTCATCTGTTAACGCTAAAAATAAGCGTGCGTTTCTGAACCATGCTTCCGCGTGGTGAATCTAATTTTAGAGGAGAGTTTTCTTTTCGCAAAGAATATATACGGTTGCGATAACATTAAACGTATATTCGCGAAAGCTCGTACGCGCAAAATTGCGAAGGGGAGAGAAGGGACCGCACACGTCGAAGAGGGCAATGCGCTTTCGAAGCTCGCGGCACCCGACATAATTCTCGTTGACCGAGTCTATCTATTCGGGCAACCGGGAGAACAATCCAGAGAGAATGCGACACTAATTACAGAATATAATTAATCACTCCGGGATGGACGTCGGGCAAATAACAAACGAGCTCGAGCGTATCGTTTTGGTACTGCTGACGCGGTTGCGCCAAAGAGACGATAAAATGTTATTATCAGCGCGGAATAATACTTCCTCCCTCGTGCAAGACAATTTGCACTGCTAATTGTGTTATCCTTTGTTCACGACATCAAATCAATTTGCGATTTGCGCGAGCTTGCCTCGTATCGAAACTCTGATCACCACCTATTTAACGTCAATTCCAAATTCTTTCGGATACATAAATAACGAAAAAAAAATATATAAATGAAGTACATATATCTAAATACATAAAAAATCTCAAAATAGTTAAAGATGTCTATTGAAAGCATCGCATATTGAAATTGTCCAACGGGATGTGTTGGAGTCGAAAAAGAGCTGTTTTTAACAAGATTTCGTATTTTTTAACATATCCTGTATAGAGCGTACCCGTCTTGAAGCAATCAAGCGAAACTCATCGTTAAGCCGGATACTGGTTCTGTATCCCGAAATCGAGAGAGGAAACTTTCCATCGACGCTGCCTCGAGTGGCGCGTTATTTTTAAGTCCGCTTCGCCGTTTCCTCCCTTCCGTCGTGGAGCGACCTTACGTCAGCGACAACACGATGAGTCCGAGGTGTTTCTCTTCCATTATAGCGAGGAAAATCGTATCGACGGAGAACACGGACCTTCCCCAATCGGTGTCTTTAATTGTACTTTGTCTGACTTTGTCTTTCCCGCTAAAGGGATACCATTCATCTACCTCACAGAGACGCCGTTGGCAGCTTCCTTAGATGCATATGAGGTGCGAAAGTGCACCCCTTCGAAAAATATACCTTGTACAAGCCGATCTGATCTAAACATCGCGTCATTTCATAAACTATCTTCCTATCTTTTACTTATGAGTGAAATTATACGCCAAGGTATTATTGGGACACTACTTGGAAAATTTGAAAGCAAGTACAAAATATATTCTTTTATTTTTAATACAGTAAGACAGTAGAAACACACAATAATCTTGCCATTTTCTGAGATTATACTTATCCTGTCAGAATTTATATTTCTTTCTTATTCAGAAGTTCTTGGTTGATCTGAGTTGAATTATAAATCGCATAAACAATTGTTCAATGAGACAATGCAATACTTTTCAACACGCGTGTAAATCAACGTAATGCAAGTTCTTTTTAAATACTCTTGATTGACTTGTGCGTGGGATTGACGCGGCGATGAGTTTGTCGACCTCCACAGACAAGTATTATTTAATTTGACAACATATATTGATTTTTCTCTCAATTTTCCTGTCTGTGGCGGCTCTGCCAAGTGGTGAGTGATTTGTCACTCTCAAATGAAACACCGAAACGATGCAGCCGCGTGAAAACAAAAAACAAACCAATTGGCTAATTATACGCTTCAATTATGTCGTCTCGAATTTTCATTACCGGTCACAAATTCGATTTTTTTCGTGTGACTTATTCAAGCGCCACCGCATGCTCTGAAATTATTCTTTAAGCGGATTTAAGACAAAGTTTTTCCTTGCAACACTTTCCGCGGCCTTTCGAACCTCAAACCTCGGCTTTATTTATTTTTATTATATTATATTCTTGAACTGTTATATACATATATAAAACACTATAAATGTCAGAAGTTTATTATATTACTAATCATAGCAAAATTAGAGTATTAACAGCAACTCTTTATTTAGCCTACAAAATGCCCGTTTCTTTCGCAATCGCTTCGCAAATCATCGGCGTGGCTTGATCGGCTCGATGAACGTCACGTCGCGTCCCTGGGCACGTCGAGAGTTCGACGCTTTAAGGGCAAAGGTTCACGAACGGTTGAAGCTCGCCCAAAGCTCGTGCGAAATCGCGCCGTCGAACGAGTGGCACGACAAAGCCGTACGGCGGGATAATCGCACGGGCGTGAAAACGGGCGAGCAAAGGGTCAGCATCGCGGGATAATCCGTGGACAGGCGAGAGACGGGGCGAGAAACTCGATCTATTTCGAGATCGGGACGACCGGCGACGTGCACGACGGCCCATCGACCGACCTGACCGGCGGCGCCTGTGCCCTCGCTAATTGAAACGCCGTAGGCATCGACCAGAAAGCGAGACGGAAACGCCCGGAACGCGCCGGAGCGCGCTCATTCGTTAAGTACACGACACGAAATTGCTTCTGGATGAAGCTAGACGCGTGACTACTCCGCGACGATTTGACTCTGGATCGGCCGGCGCGGCGACGCGGACGGTCGCGGATCGACCGGCGGAAAGTTCGTTGAGACGCGCGTCCATCAACGTCGATCTGTCTCGCCGCCAGAAAATATTCGGTTCCTCTCGCTGAAAAACAGGTTTGTCGGCGCGACTGCCAAATGTCCGCTCGAGGGATTGAAAGGGACATATTAGCGTCGGATGCGACGATACGCTAATGCTAATATAATAATCGATGAGGTAAGTACAACGACATTTCATAGAAGTTAATTTGGATTTCAGATTATATCTGATCGATAGCGTCAAATGTAAAAAGATAGATAAGAAGAGAATTTAAGGATCTCTAAAAGACTTCAATAAATAATATTCAGGGAATCAGGTGCGAATTATTTGCGAATTCTGGAAGTAAATAATTTCAAGATTTTTATTTTGTTATTGCTGTTGTAGTCTTCACATAAATAACACATTTGACTAATTAGTAAACGAAGTTAGATTTCTGTATACGAATGACGGAACAAATTAGGAAGAGATATCGTGCTTCGCACGAAGTATTCATGAGAGCATAGCGAGTTAACTTGGTTCTTGGCGTTACGACGTGTCACGTTATGTCGCGACGTAGCAACTCTGTTCGTACACGTATCCATTTAGCGCAGCGTTGCATCGTAACGTTCTTTGCCAAGTGGCGCATTTCATTCAGAATTACTCTCCTCTATCCGACAGGCGGAGTTCAACGAATCCGCCCTTTTCCGCGATCCTAAGGCGTCTCTCAACAAACACTCGACAATCTGATATCTGATACCCGAGTTAAAAGTCGAGATAAATCTCGGAGAAAGCAGCTTCGATCAATTTAGAAAATTTAGAAAAGCTTAAGAAAGAATCACGATTCGTGATTTAAAAAATCCGAAGGCACTAAAAATTTCGCGCGATCGTCGTCAATTCGCTCGGCTATTTCGCTTCAGAAATAAATCGACCGTAAGTGTAAAACCAATTTATAACGCCGCACACATGTGCGCTGCTCGCTCGCGGTACAACTCTGACGTCGATCGCCAAATGTGCCGCGGCCCTACGTCACCGTCGCGGGTTATTTATAAGCCGCGACGAAGAGATTTGCAGGGTTCGCCTCGTTTCGACCTGTTGCACCCGGAACCGAATTCGCCTGTCTGATACCCCGCGAGGATCCGTCGCCCGACGCACACTCGCCGAGATTTTAAGTACAACGTCGAAAAGCCGACGACGCCGACGGCCGCGTCGCGGTCGGCGCGTCGACCGAGTGAAATATTTTCGGAAGCACTCAACCCGCGCCGGTTGCAAACGCGAGAAAACGAGGTGTCAGCTGCATCGCGCATCGGGAGCGAACTCGATAAATAGATCCTGGCGGCGGCGTCGCGATGGGGGAGAAATGTTCGGCTGGCAAGCGGCGCTTTTAGCATCTTCGATACCAAAACCGATACACGTAGGAGTTCTCACCCTCTCGTTCGATGCTGGTAACCCCGCGTCC